GGGGGAGTGAGCAAGCGGCTGTGTGGTGCTTAGTTGCTGGCTGGGGTTAAACCACGACAATTTGTGTGAGCATTATTACTACCTGTGCTCAGCAATTCCACATATAGCTTTTCAACATGAAGCAAATGCCAATACTTTTCATGAAATTTAAATTGATTCATTAAAGATTAATTAATTCATTACCTTTTCATCATCTCCATATCCAGAGTAACAGCTAACAGTGAAGTAGTGCAGCAGATCTAAACTATCATCTTGATAGTCTCTGTCAACTCCTCCCTTCAGCAGAGCCTCCCTGTGATTATCATACCTAGCAAAAATTCACAGTATCAAGGATGTAGACACACAGAACATTCCCCAGTGCTGGTAAGCTAACACAGTACACATATCACCCCAATGTACAGCTTAGCCCAGTGTCTGGAATTTGTGTCTCATATCCAAAGTCTTCAGAGAGTAAAAAAGGCAGGCTCAGTAAGTATTCTCTCTTGATCTTTATTTTACTTACTATTACTTTATCTGCAATATCTATAGCAGCAATTTCTTAACGGGCAGCTAGCAAACACATTTGAGCAGGACGCTTCAGTAAGCTTTCAGAAATCAGTAGGACATTATTTAAGTCGTCCAATACATACACACACAAAACACCCCAAATCATACATTAGCATATAAAAATTGAAAAACGATACTTTCCTTTCAAGGAGGACGAACTTACTAACAGGTGGTTTTGGCTGCATAATCTGGTAGGCGCTTCAGCCCATTTCAAAAACAAGCTACACAGAACATTTAAAGTAGCAACCTCTTAAAAAGAGATGTGTGTGCATATTTCAAATTAGGACTGTTACGGAAACATGACACTATCTGCAGCAATCAGTAGCACATTGAACACCTGCACGCACTCAGTGTGGTGCTGGTTCTTTCTCCCTGCAGGCAGCGAGGACTGTGACCAGAGGGATACCTATGCTAACGTGCAACAGAGGCCAACACTGGTGTGTCCCCAGACCACCCTCGGTGCCCAGCCCAACGCCACCTCCCCAAGCACTGAGAGGAAGGTGTAGGTGCGCAGCTGTGCCTCCCCAGGAAGCTGCACGTTGTATGGCTCTCAACCCCTCCAAAGCCCGAAGCGAAGCGGCTGCTCCTGCCACAGCGGCCCGCACTCGCTAGCAGCAAGGCCCAGCGAGAAGCAATTTCAAAGTCCTGGCCGAGACAGAATTAAAAAAGCCTTTTCCAGGCCGCCACCAGATAAACACTGCTCACCAGGCTCTTTCCTGGGGATCACTGAGAACGTCATACGCTGCCTGGATTAACTTGAACTGCTCTGCTGCTTCCTCCGCGTTCTCTAGGTTTTTATCTACAAGACAATTTAATGAAATTGTGAACGACTCAACGCACGACGGCAGCACCCGCCCAAACC